AATGTACTTTTGAAAAGTATATAAATATTTTTGAGCATTTAAATGAATGAATCGAACCGTTAGCTACCTGCCAACACCCTTATTTCAAAAAAAAAAGAAAAAAAACAACAACAACAACTACTACTTCATCGCATGCCAAAACAAAAGCTAAAACGAAGAAGAAAAAGAAAACAAAGATGAAAAAGAACAAGACGAAGAGAATGAGGCCATGTTTGGTTCAATTCTCATTCTTACCCAAGATGAAATTCTAAAATGGAAAAGAATTGGTAAAAATAGGCAGAATGAAAAATATTGCTATGAACCAAATACTTTTTTCCTAAAAATGAATTTTTGTCATCCTGACAAATGTCCTATGTTGCTTTTCATTCTTCAAAAAAAAAAAAATCATGCTGGTATTCACAAAATGCAAGCCTAGGTCTCCAATAGTCAACGTTTACCACTTGGCATAGATGTTTTGTAAAAGTATTTTCGCAAAAGTACTTTTATAGAAGTACTTTCTTAAAAATGCTTTTGTAAAAGTACTTCCTTAAAAGTGCTTTCATAAAAGTGCTTCCATAAAAGTGTTTTCATAAAAGTACTTCCATAAAAGTACTTTTGTAAAAATACTTTGGTAAGTCCTTTTGCTAAAGTGCTTTCACTTTCCTAAAAGTGATTTAGAAAAGTATTTCCATAAAAGTGCTTTTATAAAAATACTTTCATAAAAGTGCTTTTATAAAAGTGCTTTTGTAAAAATGATTTTATAAGTGTTCATAAAAGTAATTTTATAAAAGTGCTTTCATAAAAGCGCTTCTATAAAAGTACCTTCGTAAAAGTGCTTTTGAAAAGTACTTCCATAAAAGTGCTTTTATATAAATACTTTTGTTACTTGAAAAAAAAGTGCTTTCATAAAAGTACTTTCATAAAAGTGATTTCATGTAAAAGTACTTTCATAAAAGTGCTTTCGTAAAACTAGGTTCATAAAAGTTCTTTCATGTAAAAGTATTTTTATAAAAGTGTTTTTGTAAAAGTGCTTTCGCAAAAGTAAACATTTATGACAACAWWTTTGTAGGTAGAGTTTCCTCAAAGAATGAAATGAGCAAGATGGGGCGTGATTATTTTCCATGCTGCAAGCTACTCGATTTTTGTGCTATGAAGCTGATTTTTCATTCTAAAAAGAATGTGGCCCTTGGCAAGAATTTTGTAACCAAATACTCTAATGTTATTCATTCTTGCCCATTCTTGCCTAGAATGAGCAAGAATTAAGAGAATGAGGCTCAAAGCAGAACCAAACATGGCTTGAATTTCTTCGAGAAAAAGAATGAAAAATAGATTAGGCAAAAGGGGTGAAGTCATCTATATATTTTTGGTCAAAGCATGAAAATAGTATATAAGAAGAAGTTTATTGTTTCTGGAAAACCTTTGTAGAATACTATTGTTTTCATGAATTGAAATGTAATCAGTTTCTCTTCTTAGGGAGAAATTTTCAATAAAGCCTTAAAGATCTACAAACATAAGCTTCATACTCCCCACATCTCTTTCTCTCGATGGGAAAATTCGGTCCACTATGCTACAAGAACAGTGTTAGTAGGGGATAAATCCAATAAAATATCATATATAGCAAGTTGTAACGGATCAGAAAAGATGGGGATAAGAAAAAAGAACATGGATCGATATAGTAATAAATGATTTAAGCATTATAGTAATTTAAAGATGGATATAACATTAATAAAATGGAATATCAAAATAGGAATTATGTAATCTACCCCATATAATTGGGATAAGACTTGAAAGATGATGTTGATCATGATATAGCCAATTAAGTTATCCACCAAAAATACTTATTTTTACAAAGTTAAGATCTCATGCCCGCACTTATCTACAAAATACCACAGCTGTGCATTGGGAATATCTTTTGTATTTACATGTTATATAATTCATGGAGAGATGTTCTCGATGTATGGTAGTAGTGTCCTGTGGGCAAGATTCTTTGTGGGTAGGAGATACGAGTTCATTTTTATAATCAACTATTATTTGATATATATATTTCCAATTTTAATTTTTGCTATAATAAGAGGGAAAAGGGAAGCATTAAACAAGCTTTTGGGTAGTACAGTTGAGAGAGTTGAGAGAACTGCAAAACTAGCAGAGAATTGAGAGACAATCATGCTTAAATGGCGGAGAGGACAAACTTGCTCCAATGGCGGAAACAAAGAGTTGAGAGAACTGCGAAAAAATTTCTACGGCGAGTGGCTTGAAACCCTAACCCTCTCTCGACCCTCTCCTTGTTCGACAGTTCGACTCTTGCAGCAGCTTCTCTGTCGACCCTCTTCCCTTACCCTCTCTCAACCCTCTCCTTGTTCGACAGTTCGACTCTTGCAGTAGCTTCTCTATCGACCCTCTCCCCTTACCCTCTCTCGACCCTCTCCTTGACCCAAGTGACCCTAACCTTTTTTGACCCAATGGGTACCCTCAACCCACCCACCCTGACCCTCTTTTCCTTGACCCATATAACCCACTGCTGAAATGGGTGGGTTTTGAAGCCGRAGGGTCAAAAGGGTTAGGGTCAACATTGCCACCCCTACTAAAGGCTCACATTAAGTGCTTTATTACTACATTTTATTATTTAATCCAAAATAATTCATGAAACAAATCTATACTAAATTTGTGAGAGAGAGAGATAAGTTCTATAACCCATGGAAAGGAGTAATGGTTTCTTAAGAATTTAAAGAAGAAAATTGGTTCACCCCATGTATTGGGTGAACACATTTGGGTTTTGACATTAGTTTAGGTCCAAACTAGGGTTCAACTTTGTGTTAGCCCTTAACCTAATCCTACTACAAGAAAAATTGTCTAAGTCAGCCGTTCAAGAACCACCGGTTTAGACCTTTAGACCGCTGCCTTAGATCTAAGGCGGCGGTCTCTGGTCTGCCAGCTAAGTGGTGCCGCCTTTGGTTGCTGGTTTAAAGCGGTCCAAACACCTCTAAGGCGGCGGTATGTAAGAACCGCCGGCTTAGCATTGTCAAAAGTGGTAGTTTGGACCGCCAACTTAGATGTTTCTGACCGCCACCTTAGGTCGTGCCAGGCATTTTAGACGGCGGTGTAGACCGCCGACTCAGATTTTGCCAACTATTGCCCAATCCTTTTACATGGCAATCTGGACCGCCGCCTTAGTTCATGTTTATGGCTATGTTGGCGGTCATTAAGACCACCGACTTAGATTTTTTTCTTTTTAATGTTCTTATTCTAGATTTTTATTTGTACCTTACCCACACTTTTATTGATTTATCGGTTTAATACCTGCTTTATGCAAATCCTAGCCATGAAAACTTAAATGTATATAAAAATGCAATTTGCAACAATATATATTAATTAGACGATTAATTATTATAATATCCAAAACAAATTGTTAAAATACAATATCCAAATGTTCAAATACAAAAATTTTAAAAAAAAATCGAATTCTCAAATAATGTAGTGTATCTTCGAATGCAAATCCACTTAGCACAATGGCTGAATACTGCAAATCGTAACACTAAACTTTAGTACTTAGCACTAAAGATAAGCTAAATAAAAGCTCCCTGATGGATACAACCATAGTAAATAAAAGGTAAACCGAATGCAATAGTTATATGAACATCCCATCCTACCACCATGGCTTGAAAAACAAATAAGTCTTCTTTCATAAACAAGTGGAGCTCTCAAACTTGTTTACACACGTCAAGGCCATTTGAAAGCATCATATCCCAACCCGCCATCCAATTCCTCTCCAAAGGAACTCCTATCTTCTAAATGTTGAGCCCTTGTGAATCACTTCTCTCAACTAGGTTCCCCTTTCCCTTCAAAAGACAAAACTACCTATGAAAGCCCTTGGCTTAGTCATGTTTTGAATCAGAATAATTGTGCATGTTGCATCATTGTTGCCTTTGAGTGATAAAGAATCTATATTATACGAGCATTCCTACAAACACATGCACATGCCATTAGAATCACACATACATTTCATGTAATGAAGTCCAATAAAAAAATTAAGAGGAAGTATCAAATAATGCCTGCCTATAAATTTAAAGCAACAAGATGATAATATGGAGGCACTCAAACCAAAAGTTGTGGCCATACATGCTCATTTTTCAATTGAACAAGCTAACCCTTTTATTGTCCCCTAGTCGGCCCACCCACTTTTCATCTTTACATTTCATGAAAGAAAGGACAAGTTTACTTCTTTTCTAGTCCCATGGTAACACTTACATCTATTCTCTAGTAATTCTATTTATAACTTTATCTAGAAAAGTAAAGTTTGATTAAAAGACCATAATGGGTCTCAATTTATTGCAATTAATGAAAACCTAATTTCCCCTTAAATTATAGTTTTTTCATTTAATTTCATACTAACTTTTTATTTCCTTGGGGTACTTGTAAATTTACATTCCTAGAAAATTGCTAATATTTAACCTTGAGACATTTGTGTTATTATGAATTCATCAAATATCAAAAGTTTTCAATCGCTGAATTCTTGCAAGATGTAGGTTTATGAAATTAAATTATGTGAGAAAATGAAATCTTCCCATGTAGTTTATGGGTAAAAGATTGTTAGGCAGCCTAGTGGGACCAAAGGAGAATATAATTGAAGTTGTGATATCTTTTTCTTTTCTTTTTTTTTTTTGAAATAATTGAACTTTAACTTCATGGGTATTGATATGAAAAGATACATCAGAGTTTTTGAGTCACCTTCAACTACTAAACCTGACCTCCCCTAGCGCCATGTGCACAGTACTAGGAAGGGTCTTGGGAAGGGTATACTGCATGTGGTTTAACCTTTGGCATTTTCTTTCTTCTTCACCAAGTGACCACAATAGCCCCTCAAGTTGTGTGCACAACCTATTGCTAATACGTGTGTGTGTGTGTATGTGTTAGCCATTTATTTGTTTATTTGGTTTTCAAAATCTTTTGTATTAAGTAAATGCCACCATGTTGGTGAACTTCGTAAAATAAACTTTCAGCTTAAGATCTGTGTTTTAAAGGGAAAAACAATGACATCTTGTCAATATTCTTGGAGAAATACAAAACAAGGAAGTTTTAATGTTTTTCAACTTATAGAATGAGTACAGATTTAGACACAAGAGAAATGAGCAAACCTTCAATTTCCTCATCAAGTGGGGCATCCTTGTTGAACTCAAATCATTCCCATCCAACACCCATGCTCATTGTAGCATTCTTCTCAGCTACAGAGCATACATTATCAGTACTAAAGCAAGATTTATAGAAGGTAGAACTTGTCTTACTAAGAAATATGGCTAGCACCAGCAAATGATAATCCTTCAAAATTTTCATGCAAAGTATAATTGAGCTAGTTTTTTCTTCGATGAGCCAAAACTTTAAGGCTCGGTTTGGAAAGAGCACATATACAAATATGTACAATACAAATATATACAAAATACAAGGTTTTACACTTTGCATATATGTATTTGTACTCCTTCCAAACTAAGCCTAAGAAACAAATAAATTTTAATCCAGATTACAAAGCTACCTCATAAGTTATATCTCTCGCTAACAAATCTAATCCAATTTAATATCCTAACTAAGACAAAAAAAAAAATATCCAGCAGAAAAGTTTTCAATATCTTGGTGTGGGTCACATTCTTTTAGATAAAATAGATTGTGAATTATCAATTGAGTTCAAGTCTCTAAATCAAATAAAAAATCCAACCTAAATTTACCCTATAATAGTGGGTCCAATTCCCAAACAAAAGTCAAGATCTTCAAGCACCCAAGTGCCCTCATAATGTAACCTTTAATCAAATTGAGTGGCAAGAAATGCCAAAATCATCAAAGGATATATTCAAAACAATATAAAAATGATTATAACCCATATCGAAGCTGAAAAACTATTGATTGCAATGGGTTGCAAATATATCTCATGGGTTTATGGATAAGTCAAACATATCGCCTCAAACTACCAAAAGTCATTTGGAAAACCTCTACAATACCATTAAAATCAGCATATCTATAGCCCCTAAGAATAATAAAGCACCTGACTTAGAAATCATAGCTAACATCTCACCTCAAAGCCACTCTTTGCAACTTGATATTGGATTTTACAACTTACTACCGAGAGAGTTGACACTCTAAAGACCTATAACTTCATGATGGAAGAGACTGACCATAGGAAGCAACAACAAATAAGATAGACACGTCAAAAAGTATCTAATATGGGGGTCTAGGTTGTTGATCAAGAAGTGTTTCAAATTTGATCATTGTTGAAAATTTTGGATTGGAATCTATTGATAAACATCCATTAAACATTTCTAAATTCATAAGTAAATGAATGCTAGATTGCAAGCCACTTAGAAGTAGAAGCTACCAAAGAAGAAATCTATTATCTCAATCTTCTTAAATCAGACTGTCCCAGATGATATTAAATAAGGATGTCCACTTCCATTAGATTGCAAAAAACTTCTCAAAGTTCTCAAAAAATTCCCAAAAAAATAACAGTACTAACTAATTTCATTTAGATTAAACACAAAAAAAACAGATAATTATCATGTGATTAACAAAATTGAATCAGGGTTAAATAGGGTGCAAGTCATTGCCATTGATTACCATTAAAACTAGGTTAAGCAGAGGCTAAATTGACAAAACCGAATCAGGGTTCAACAGGATGCAATTCATTGTCATTGATTATCATTAAAACAAGGTTAAGCAGAGGCTAAACCAAAAAATAACTATACAAAATAAAATAAGATAAAAATGAGAAGAATGGAAAATGAAATGGGGAATCCAAACTTGGATTAGCAATATGAGTACATTACTCATACTGGCTAAAATGGTTGTCGTGATTACTGTCAGTAGCTCCCTAGAGGCCAACAAAGAATCCGTAGGTAATGGAGATATGCAAGAGGTCTTTAAACAACAATAGAACGAAGGTGAGATGATTTTCATCGGTTCAATGAATCCTACAACAAAAGACAAAAGATAAAAATATAATGAAAACAACCATAGCATATGGAATTGAAAGTGCTCAAATATAATGTAGGAAAAAAAATGAGAGATGAAAGTTACCTCTTAAAAAACAACAAAATTGCAGTTTCAAATAGATATCACGCATTCTATTGGTCAATGGAACCCCCAAAATCCAAGACCCTAACCCTAAAATCATTTGAACAGAAATGCTCTTGCAATAGGATGACCCTGTGTTGTCTTCAATGGTGAAACAGGGACCTGCAGTAATACCATCGAGTATGTAAAAATGCCATAGGAATGCCCTACAAACCTAAAAGCGACAATCCCTGACACAAAACAGGTTGAGAATTAATATACCATCTTCACAAACTTGAAAACAAGACCAAGCTCCTGTAACGAATACCTGCGACTAAATTACTATCGGAAAAGCAAACAAAAGTCAAATAGCTTCCAAGCCTACTGAACCTTCAAAAGTCAACCACTTTACCCCAATAGGCAATAGCTATAAACCCAAAATTTCAATAAACCTCAGCTTCCCATGAACCTCCAAAAAGCGAGAAGGAAACCAAACATAGAATTACAGATCACAGAATAAGGAAAAAGAAAAAAAAATATGAAACGCTATAACAAGTGAAGCCGAAAACCATAAATTGAAAAAGAAAAGGCAAGTAAGAATATATGCCCTAAAACGAGAGTTTGAAACCACAGGTACCTATGTCTGTCTTCCTTCACCGGTCTATGCCCTAAAATGAGAGAAGATGATGATGATGCCCTTCATCGCTGTAACTATTGAGAAGAAGATTTTAAGAGAGAGAGAGATCCTTCCCTTCTTCGTCAAAACTATTCTTTGGTTTCTCTGCAACAAAATATTGTTGAACGCGGGAGGCAAGCGAATGCAGGAGTACGTCTTGAGAGTATTTGGCTTTTAACATCTCATATGAAAGTTGACGGGCGAGTTATTTAGACCGTCTCAAGTCTGGTTCAATGAAAAACCGCTGCGGAGTTTCTATTTTAATTTCCCAAGCGGCGGTTGCTAGGAGAACGCCACCTTAACTATCTCTGCCGCCAGTTCTATTTTAAGAGAGAGAAAGTAAATATAGATTTTATGAAAGACGACGCATGAGAGTTTTAATGTTGATGACTTATTATATTTTTAATGATTTCATTTAAAAAAAATGCACATGTGTGAAAATAGAGAGATGATGAAGCACATGTGAGCTTTGTGGTGAGAGAACCCCACACCTCCCCTCTTTTCTCTTTCTATTCTCTCTCTATATATATACTAGTATTTGTATATGTGCATTTCACATGACAAATTTTGTGATAATGATAGTATATAATGTATTTCCTTACAAATATTTTTATATTTCTACATCTATAAAAACTATTTTTATTTATCACATGTTCATTAATATAATGATATGTCCAAATAAAATTCTTTCAAAGGTAACCAGAAATAATAAAATTCTTATTTTTCTTATTTATTATGGTTCATTAATAAAATTAATAATTTTTATTAGTTACCTTTGTTAGAATTTTATTTGAATTCTCATTACATTTGCAAGAATTAACTTTTTTTTATCAATATTTGCAAGAATTAACTTCTATATAATAAATCCAACTTTAGCTCCTTCAACCGTTGAAAACCTTGCAATGAACTATTATAAAAAATATCACTTACTCTGGTAGCTATCTTGTCACCCAATGATGTGGGCTTTAACAAAAATGAAAAATTAACCCACCATATGGTGGGAATAAAGAATAGAAAAACCATCTACTACCTTAATGATAAAAAACTGAACCAATGAAAATAGGTCAAAAATATTAAAAAAACAAGAAAATAGTTTAAATAATAAATTGTTCATCCATTTGCAAGTTGGAAATCTTTTCATGGTGATTAATGCGGCCCAACATTGGCTATTGAGAACATAAGATGTATTTTCAAGCTTTTTTTGTCATTGCTGACCCCACCCCACCCCCTAAAATTTGGTAAATGCAATCACCTCCTATGAATTTTTTGACACAGTTGCAAGTACAAAAATGTCCAAAATACCCATGTAGTTACTTTTGAGCAAAATATTTATATTCCAAATTTTTCTTCATACCAATCACTACCCTAATCCCATCTAATCTCTTTTTTGAAATTGATGTATTTTCCAAATTTGCCTTTCATATCAATTGCTCAAAGGTAACATTGCAACTTTAAACTCTCTTTTTTTGGTTGTTTGTAACATTTATATTGCTTTTTATGTATAAACCAACATCAATAATAATTGCAAAGTTATTTTGAACATTTTTTATGATGCGCAATCCGGCCACTCCTAGCTGGAAGTGATGAGGCTTCTAGCTGGCGACGGGCAAGAGATACCTGCAAGAAGGACGAAGGGACCCGGGGTTGAACACCCGGCGGGGACTCTCCGATACTTAAGTTAGAACACGGTAGCGAGTTGAGAAAGAGAATGAGTACGCAAGAAGATGAGAGCTAGAGAGTGGTGAATATGCGATACCTTTGCCTCTGAGGAGTCGAAGTGCTTATATACTGGCGTTTGACAGGTTCAGTGGGATTGATCCCAAAACCCTGTTGTGGTGATCTGCTATCAGGTAGTACCTCGGAGTGGCTGGCCATTACTGTTAGGGCCGAGAGTAGGCAGGCTACAATGACCGTTGCATGGTACGGTCCCGCCAACTGGGGGGACAACCTGTAAGCACGACGCTGCCAGGCGGGAGACAGGGGCGCAGCCTTCTGAATTGGCAGGCGTTGCGCCATTAGATGAGGGATGCGGGAGCAGTCTAGCAGGTACGACTTTGTCAAATGAGAAGCTTCCCGTAGAACGCCAAGCCACCCCGTAGCGAGCTACTTTGTAGCAGGCCACCCTGTGGCGAGCTACTTTGTAGGAAGCCACCCTGTGGCGAGCTACTGGTGGCGTGCCGAGGTGGTTCTTCCTAAGGTGAGTTATCTTCGAGGCGGCCCACTTGCTTGGGCCTGAAGCGAGCTCGTTGTTCCAGTTCGCGAACTGGGACGAACTTAACTCGGAGTGCAGCCCGGGACATCGACGTGCTCGAGCTCACCCCATGGCGAGCAGACACTTGCTGAGCTGTCACCTGCGCCGAGTCATGTCCATGTACCGGTCCGTCTATGCCGAGTTGTCGTATATGCTGAGTCACGTACACGTGTCACCCAGTCAGGAGGTCGGACCAAATCACCCTTCACCAATTGCCCCCCACTCCTCGAGCTAGGGGGCTTGCCCTAGCGCGGGGAGTTCATGAAGTGACGAGTGGATTTGACTCGTAATTAAAACTATCTTGTCAAACCGCGTGAGGTGTACGCACGGACGTCACGTGATTTATAGATCCCGCGGGCGCCAAAAAACGCGCTAAACTGCTTTCGGTCTCAGAGGACATGCAACCGGTTTTACTATGAGCCATTGGATTGCTTTAATCGGGGCCGTTGTTTTTCAGGCACAATGGTTATAAATAGGAGGGTCCCAAGCCTCATTTTTTATACCAACCAGCCTTCCTTTCAGCTCTGAGATCGTGCCTTCGCCTCGCTTGCTCGAGTTCTCCCCGTTCGTGTCGCTCTTTTCAGCCCGTCTTCTTCGGTGAGTCTTTTCTGCCTTACCCAATTATGTTTGGGTATCATACGGTGGTGTTCCTTCTTGGGCTGGTAATCAGGGCGAAGCCCCCTCGAGCTTGGGGGGAGCTCGGGGACCTTTCGAGGGGCAGTCTCCGAAGGCTTGGGAAGCCTCTGGTAACCTGGCTTCCACCTCCCGAAGTTGGGAGCCAGACAGTTTTGGCCCTTCTTCTATGTCGATGGAGAGACTCCGGGCCCTGGTCTTCCAATACAACATCCCAAGGGAGCTTACTTACAGCCTTCCGACCGACGATTATCCTTGGGAGCATGATCATGACGAAATCGTGATTTTCGAGGAATAGCTTGTGGTTGGTCTTCGCCTTCCCCTGCACCCTTTGATAGTAGAGGTCCTCACTCACTTTAAAGTCACCATAGACCAGTTGCACCCGAATTCTGTTCGAAACCTAGTGGGGACCATTTCTTTGTTTTACGAGTACTGTCTTCCTCTTTCTCTCGATACCTTCACCTCCATCCTGTCAATCAAGAATGCTTCCCCTGGAGCTCCTGCAAATAGGCACTCTTACTATTTTTCCCCCCGTTCCGGCTTCAAGCTTCTTCATGAGTTGCCCAACAGGATCCCGACCTGGAAGCGGGGCTATTTTGTAGTTCGTAATCCCAAGGGGTGGCCCTTTCCGACCCACTAGAGGGCTGCCATTCAGGATCCGGGCATTAGCTTGGATCTGAGGACGTGGGAAACGCTACAGTCCTGGGTAGAGATTGGCTTCATCTGCGTGGACTATTTGGCCAAGGACAAGCTCGTGCAGGCTGGCCTGAGCCCCAGTAGGTTACCTTTAGGTTTGTCCTTCCTTTCTTGGTTTTTGCGAACAGGGCTAACGCCTCTTTGCCTTTTACAGCTGTAATGTCAGATGTGGATGCACGTCGCCTCCTGTCAAACTCTCAGAGGGGCAAGCGTGGGCAAGCGCGTCGCCTCATGTTGATGCGCGTTGCCTCCTGTCGGATGCGGAGCTAGGCTTCGACTCACTGCATGGTGGTAAGTGCTTGCTCTTTTTCTCTCTCCCTTTTTTTCTTTACTTACCTCGACTTTCTATTGGCAGTTGAACTCTGCCCTCCATGCCATGGCCTATTAGACGGCCGTTCATTCCAAGGATGCCCACGCCTAGAGGACGGAAGTACAGAGGCTCAATCGCAAGCTGGACCGGGCCCGGGGTGAGGTCCTCCAGGCCAAGAAGGGGAGCGAGGCCCAGGGGCTACTTGTGCAGGACCAGGAATCGCGGATCTCCTGGCTGATCGAGGAGAACACTCGTTACAGGGAGGAGTCCTCTAGGACGGCCGAGGATAGGGAGCGCCTTTGGCAGGAGGTTCGAAGTCTAGAGGCCACCATCCATGAACGAGCTCGAACCTTTGACGTTGTTGTGGAGGAAGAAAGGGTCAAGGCGGTGGACTGCTTTAAAGAGTCCCCGGAGTTCCGCGACCTTCAGGTCGAGTACGGCACGAACTCCTACCGTTCGGGGTTCAAGCTCTGTCGGTACCTGGTTCGGAAGAAGTTCTCTAGCCTTAGCCTTGACGGCATCATGATGAAGGGCCTAGCTCCGGAGGTGGCGGACGCAACGGAAGAGGAGGAGTCTGATTCCCTGGAGGAGACTAATGAGGACGTGGAAGTGGTGGACCCTTGATGTTGGGGTTGTTCTTCTTTTTTTCTTCTGATCTTTGAGTGCATGTTCCCGGGTGGCTGAGCCCGGTTCTCTCTTTTTTTTTTATGTATTTCCTCGGGCCGTTAGGACTGGTTTTTTTATAAAAAACCTCGATACTTAATGAAATATTGTTTTTGCTTAGAATGGTTCCTTCCTGGCCCAAGTCATGCGTATATAGGTTACCCGAGCTGTCGAGCTACCGAGCTGGCAACAAGCAAGGGTAACTGAAATGGGAGTCATCCCGAACTATGTGAGTTACCTCGAACTATCCGGCTATCGAGCCTGGTAGCGAGTGAGGGTAACCTTAGCAAGATTTATTCTAAGTTTCTTGGCTCGAGCTGCCCGCATAGAATCCGGCTGTTTGAACGTAGGTCCTCTGATGGACCCGAACCGTGATCGTTGTCGAGGTGATGTAGGTATCGTAGGGTTGATGCCCGAGCTGTTTGTGCTTTTGACTCTAGCAGGCGAGGGGGTGAGGTCCTACACACTGTTTGGAGCCTTTGTTAGTTCATTTTCGTAGCCCTTGGGCTCGGGGAACGACTCGGAGTCCACTCCTAAGCTTTGCCCATGCCGTAGATGCGACTGGGACTTAGTTGGTGTCGAGGTCCTTATCAATTCGGCATCTTGGCCCTTAGGTTCTTGGAGGGACTCAGAGTCCACTCTTAAGCTTTGCCCATGTCGTGGAGGTGACTGGGGCTTAGTTCGCCCATGCCGTAGAGGCGACTAGGACTTAGTCCACCCATGCCTTAGGGGCGACTGTGACTTAGTTGGCCCATGC